GACTAAGAATATACTCTGTAAAGATTTGTTCACGTTTCCCATTTTGATATTAAATCCTTTGACTTTTCCAGCTATAAGAATCTTTTAAGCACCTTTGAACACCTAAATCCTGACATAATTTGGATTCATTTTTGTATAACACTGCCTTAGGTTAAATAAATGAGCCAGGCAACTGCTACAAAATGCAATGTTGTGCAATCAAGTCCAACTGATTCGAGATCTTAACATAAAATTTTCATATTTAATAATACAAATGAATTTATTATTTCTTTTCTTTTTTTTTCCATCCATGAAAGGAAATGTGTTCACAGCATGGTATGGAATATATACTGGATTTTTCTTATATTTCTTCTCATGAATAATGTATCACACAACCCAGAAGGGGAGCAAGGGTCAGTGTCCACTTCACTGAAGGCAAATTTTGCCTTTTACAGTAATCTGAAGGACCGTGGTGGGATACTGGATGAGAGTATCCCACTGAATGAGGGCCCTTCACTTCAAAGCTGTCAGTTCTACACTGCCTCACAGTGCTTCAAATGATCAGGTCTTGTATTAGTATCAGTCTGGGTTTATTTTCAGTAAAAGAGAAAGATGTCTTCAGTGCTGGTACAATATTACAAATGGATCAGACAAAGAGAATGATCCCACATTCTGAATCCTACAAATATATAACTCCTGTAATGTCTGTGAAGTTTCTTTTGAATCCCTCCTTACCCTGTGTGGAGGTTTGCTTATTAGTTTTAAATAGGGCATTTGGTTTCCTTACGTAGACTCTTAATTGGAGATTAGAGCATTTAGCCTTTTAGGCTGCTAGTTTAATTATGGTAATGTGTAAAGTGTATCAGCAAAGCCTGATTGTCTATGCCAACTGAATTTGTTATCTTCAGTCCAGTTCCCAATAGGCTGATGTGTGTCTAAGTCAAATTCCAACAGCAGTGGCATTAGCTGCCTCAGCCCACATCCCATAAAGTGAATGCAAAATGGAAACCAGACTGGCTTTTAAGTTCCTGAGAGCTAAGTGACCCCCACCATTAAGACTGGGAGACATGAATGAAGAAACATTCATTTGGGCTGTATTCTTGTGCATGAACAACATGCTGCAGTCTCCGAGGCTGGCAACGTCACCCTTTGTTACATTAAACCGATATTAAACCAAAAACCCTGAAGTAAATACTGAATCCAGAGAGAATGCTTTCCAATGCAAGATAAGAAAGATGTGGGCTCATCTACTAGGCTGTGTTGCTGAAATAGGGGAGGTCAAGAACTGCTTTAAATTTTGGTGAAGGAAGTCAAGGTATGGAGGAATGAGGTGCTGAAAGCAAGCAGGAAAAAAAAGGTGAATTTGAGAGCCAGCTCAGGAAAGCAGGTGTGTAGAACAGCATGCTTATTAATTTTTTCAAGTCTGTGTTTCTAATGCTTTTTCTGTGTGTTTGTTTCTCATTTCAGATTGCCTGTTTGGTGCCTGTTGACCAGTTTCAGTTGTACAAGAGGTTGAAGTTTGAACGAGGTGTGAACCTTTTTGTTTCTATTACCTTCCTTTTTGCAGTGTCAGTGGAGGTAACACTGCTACATACTGCAAAGACAAAGCCTGTTGAGTGAGTTAAGGAAGAGACAAAGATGTCTTTTTTTTTGAAACAGTTTAAGAGCAATCACTAGGTCTCACTGTGCTCCACAGACAAATTTCAAATTCTGTCAGTTTTGCAGAATCAACAAAGAGGCGTCTTACTGAATTATTAGACTTTTACTCAAGCTTGTGGGCAACGCTTTCAGACTGTGAGCCTGAGGCTGCATTGTTCTTCCTGCAGCTTGCTCATCCTGGGTCCTTGAGGTGGTGGTTGTACTGGTAGGAGTGCTAGAGGCTGGCGCAGGGCAAGGCACATCCATAGGGATCTTCAAAACTCCTGGACGAGACATACCCTGAAGTGCAACGCAGATTTTTGCAAGCATCGCTGAAAAATAGTTTTTCTAATATAGAAGCCTCGTGTGTGTTCATCTAGTATAGCTGTTTTTTCTTTTCCAGAGGAATAACGTGTCCCCTCATTACTGAGTAAAGCCTATTAGTAAAGAAATTTGAGACTGACGGTCTCGCTGGGGCCAAGCTTTCCTATTCCCAGAAGTCGGCCTTCTGCACCTGGAGATGGTTCCTTGCCAAGGCTGAAGAAGAAACTTGCTAGTCAGAAAGATGAGATCCCATTCCTGCTTTTAAAGACCAACACTAATGTGAAAGTCTCAGCTGGAGCTGCAGTGTTTTTCAAAGGATTCACTGCATGGTAGTTTGCAGAGTGGTGTGTTTGGGACTGATCTGCCCTAACTCTGCCTGTTTTCAAACTTTCCTTGAAAGACTGTATTTATGTGCTTGCTTTGCATGAATGCTTAGATGCAGGTGGACTGGGAATGTGTAAGACAGTGCAGAGGTTTATAAAAATTAGGCAAAGTAATGCACTTGAAAAGATGGTCATATAGAAGAACATATAGGTTTCTACAGGATCTCATCTGACATGAATCAGATGAGTGCATGACCACAAAGTACAAAAAATTCAAAATGAGTATGATCAAATATGCCCCAGAATTCATGGGCAAGTGCTGATTGTAGGCACTTGGGCCAAAAAAAAAAAAAAAAAAGCAAAAGAATTCCAAACTTTGCTTTCATTTTTTATTCCTCTCTCCTATTATACCACCTTTGCATTTATCCTTAATTCCTTAGCAAGTCCTTCTGGTTCCTAAGCCCACTGGTGGCTTATCTACAGTCCTAGACAATGGAAATCAGAGCTTGTTAAATCACCCTATTAAAGGGTTATGGAAGAGAGACATTCTTGCAATACATTAATCTGTCTTATGTAAAACCTTTGTTAACTGAAGACTCTGAAGCTAACATTTTCTGGTATCTCCTCCTCTATAACTACCCAAAGCTGAACTCATAATCTTCTGTCCAACTCACTGTTACATTTCTTTCCTTTTTTTTTTTTTTTTTTTTTTTTTTTTTTTTTTTTTTTTTTTTTTTTTTACTGTCTCCCACACACAGAAGCCTGAAACTTGTCTATTTTTAAAATCCTCCTTCCCTTTTCTTTCTTGCCTTAGTCTGAAAAATCCTCCTCCCCTTCTGCTATCTCTCTTCATTATGATTCTAGGATCTGTCCTTGCTCCTTTATGATGAGTAAAACCGGTATCCAAGCAGCAAACCTGGACATAGCTTTTTGCCCCAGCAGCAAATCCAGCTTACTGATGTCTGGGAACAGCGATTGGTGCTAGCTAAAGCTCTGACCTGGGCACTCAGCACTAATACCAGCCCTGGCTGAGACCTTTTGCCCAACCTGGATTTAGTGTTGTCCCCAAGGCTGACCCCATTTTTGGACTCATCAGTTGGACTTGGCTTATTAGCTCCTGCTGGCTTGAAGCTCTGTTCTCAGACCTGAGCCTTACCTGGCAAAGCCTGCCTGCCCTGACCAATGCCAACACTTGTCTGACAGTCTTCTTCTGCAGCTAGCAATAAACATTGCTGATGACACCTGCTGGGGACAAATTCTGACCTGGAATCTGCCCAGGGACTTGCGGCAGCCTGAGATCTGTTGTGTGTCTTGTGTCTTTGTCAGCCTTAGCACAACCTAGCCGTTTTCAAACTTACCCCTCTCCTCCCTTAAAAGAGGGAGGTGCTAGGGTGTCCTTCATGACTTTTGTTCAGACCCTTTTCTCTCAGCTTTATTCAGCAGAGATAAGGACTTTTTGCAGAGTGCACTGACAATATACTGTTCTCTTGTGGGTTTTGTGTTCTTAAAATGCAAATATTCTCAGGCTTTAAACAAGCTTTCTTATATATCTATATCTTCTCTGCATCTGGTTAGGCCTGAGCCACAGAGCTTATGTGCAGAATATTTTAGTAGAAGAAACAGGAATTGCTCTATGTCTATTAAGGATGGGGCTGATGTCAGCCCCTATCAGAAGTAAAGAAATAGAGGAATAGTATGTGGTTAGGACACATGCATTATGTTTCTGTTTCTGTGACAATTGCCCAATAGGCTGAGTGGTGGATGATGAGAATCTCCATCTTATGCCTGACGGAAATGTAGTCCTTTTAAAAAGTTCCTAATATTCTGTGAAATAGAATCATTGACTTATCCTTTCAGTGAGTACCTCTCACTGAGACAGAAATTGTTTTCATCAGGGTACTTACTGCATTTCCCTTGTCTTCCTCCCACATTTCACCTGCTTGCTCACCTGTTTTATGAAAACTGCCTGTGTCCCTGCCTAGTACTGGCACTGTTTGGGAAGACTTTCCTCCTGAGAGTGGAGTGCATTGTGGCTGAACTGGCTGTAGGGAAGCAGAGGAAAGGATTGGAAGAGATATGGCCGTAACCAAAAGATGGAGCAGCTTGTCAGAGCAGGACGATAGCCTCTCCCATGTTTTTTGGCTGAGTCTTTTTTAGATTTTTCTGGTTTCATTTGTACTCCATGATAAACCAAACTGTATGAGCCAGCATGGATTGCAAAACACCATCTGTAAGTTCTTTGTAAAATGGAGGAAGTGGGAAAAGAGGGAGTTTCATCTCATGCATTACATCTTGCTGCAACAAATTGCTAAAAAACAGTGAGATGCACAATCCAACTCTCCTCTTCCCAGTATTGTCAAAACCAGACATCCTGTCTTTCACCCAAAAACAGGATAGGAGAATTTAGGTTTCCAAAGTTGAGTATTTTAATAAGTATCTGCAGGACCCACAATTTATCTTAGGTTTGTATTTTGGACCTCCCTATAAAAAGGCAAAGAATATGCTCTGTGTAGTGTATTTCTATTCTTGTGATGGTTTCAGTGCAGTTGACTTAGCAGAGTACAACTGCAGACTTACCTGAAGAAGAGTAGGCTCAAATGCCCGTGGGCATGGGCGTGGAGCGCTTTGGCTTCCATACCCAGTTCCAGAATTGGGTCTTGTAAGCCTAGGCACATGTCACTGGAATGAAAAGGGAGCTATATAAACAGTTTTATTTCTCTTTCTGTTGCATTTCAGAAGTGCACCTGGACCCCCAGAGAACATGGTGCCCCACGGCCGACTGCCAAACGGTGTGCCACATTGCACCAAGCGAGTCTAGAGCACCGGTGCCGGTGGAGTGCCCGGTTTGCCATCTGACGTTCTGCTCCTCTTGCAAGGAGGCATGGCACCTGCAGCACCTGTGCCAGGAAAACCAAACTACTGCAGTCCCAACTGAGCAGGGGTAAGAGGGGAGTCGTTTGGTTCTTTTTGTCACAGTGCCTCACGTTAGGTTCATGGAGCGACTTACTTCTAAGTCCATAAGTTCATCTCTGAGGCTCTCCATCTCTCCCAGTGTTTCTTAAATAAAATTCCAGTCTTCATATTACTTTAAATGATACATTTTTTTTTTTAATACTTCATATTATTTGCCTATTTGTCAAGCTTGAGTTGCGACTGATACTTCTGAAAGGTGAAGCCCTCCAGGGCTTTGTAT